TTTTTTTTTTAATTTATCTTCATCAATCCAGCCCTGAGCTAAGCTTTCCCCTTTCTGCCCAGACTCCCAAGCTCCCTCAGCCAAGGAAGTTGAGTTTTGCACTTCTGGTCATGGCTGGGAATCCTCTCATCTCTTAGGAAGGTCCTTAAATTCTCTCTGTCATTTTTCAAATTAACCTGTATTTACAATCAATGGTAAAACCCCAGAAAATTTTTAAATTCAAGGATTTCGAACTTCTCAAACTTCCACAGCTCTTGAAGAGACTCCTTGGCCTGATGACTTCTCAGAGGAGGCAAGGACTCTTGCTGCCTATGTCTAAATACATCAACTTGTTCAGCAGCCCTTGACAAGGAAGTTTCTTAAATACTGCCAGAAAAACCAACAAATTCCCTGTCTAATGGCCAGAGTCCACCCTGAAATCACTTCTCATCTTACTGGTACCGAGCGGACGTATTGTTGCTTACGACAGCTTTCTATTTATGCAGCAGGGGCATTCGATGGGTAATATGAGACTTGCATTTAAATCAAAAACATCTGCAAACAAATACTTGGCAGGAGCCTATGACATCGAAGTATTTGAGAAATAAATAACGACTTCATTCAAAGCATTTATTCTTTAATGGTTGAGGTGAGTTTTTTTTCATTAGTTACCAACTGAGCAGGTGCTTGCTGAGCAAACAGTTCTGCTAACAATGTTCTTTGTGTATTTTGTATACCTTTTTCTCTGGGAAGAAGGGATTCAGCTTTCCGTGACCTGAGAGCCACAAACATTTCCTCCTTGAGCGCTGAGCAGAAGAACAGCTTTTCTTTTCTTTAGAAGGGAAGTGAGCCTGGCTCTTGCATAAGGAATTCCTGTAACTGTTTACTTTCTACTTACAGTTGAGAAGATGACTATCTACAGTAGCTTCACCCACAAATCACAGCCAAAAGCCAAACTTGGCAGTACGAGTTATCAATATAAACCACATTAACTATTCCAATTAAACAGGAGCGCGCTGCAGCCGGCGGTTGGAGCGGGAGGATGGCGGTGCGTTCTCGCGTGTGTCATCGCTGACAGAACACAGGCTTTTTCTAGCAGTACCTTGTTTTGTAAGATCACCCTGCCCTCCTTTGCTTTTTATCCCATCTATCAGCTGGGCTGAGATCCTTTGGGGAGAAAAGGCTTTTAGCTCGAGGTGGAGGGGGTCACGTTTTTCACCCTGATGCTGCTGGTGGTGACTCCTGTACCTACCATGGTCCCAGTGCTGAAACAAGCCCAGCACCACAGCCTCACCTCTAAGACTCGACCACAGCTGGTGCTTTGAGCACAGTCTGGTTAATATCCTGGTAACTACTACCAGGATATTTACATTTTTATTCTCTGCGGGTGCCACAAAATCGCCCGTGTCTCATCAGACACCCTAGAGATGCGGCGCATCTGTAAGAAATTTATGAAAATGATTCACTGTTGCATCGCTGGCTGTTAAACCCACACTTGGAAAACAGACCAAGGACCTTCTGGGTTTTTTAACTCTGCCTTGATAGCTCTGATGGAGATATGTCAGGACAAGCTGAAGGTTCTCCCTGGTGAGATGCGTTTATAGGCACTGAACCAGCTCTCTCAGTCTAATCCAAAGCACTTTGCCCCTTGCTCGAGTGAGTTTTAATGACACAGTTAAGTGCACGGACTGATACATGCTCAGATCCCATTAGCTCCAGTATGGCTGCAAGTTAGGGGCACAATTGATGCCCTAACCAGGAACCAACCAAGAAAGCCTTGATGTCACCTTTCGCATATTTGCACGAGGAAGGCTGCCATATTTTTCCAACAATTTTCCTCCAGAAGGAGGAAAAGCTCTGCCTGTAAATGGTGGGAATGCCTTGCTCTTGCCAAGGGGAGGGGAGGATAGAGGTAGGTTCTTCCACATCCTTGGCAGTTGCAAACATCTCCCAGCCAGATGCGAGTGTCCACCAGGAAGCTGGATGGGACCAAAGGGGTTTAACGCCTTTCACGGTGCTGCAGAAAGGCCGTCTGCTCCACGTAAGGGCAGCTCCATGGAAAGACAGCATTTATTTCAGAGCTTTCAAACCATTCTCCAGCACCCAGACACAATGCCCGCTCCACCGCTAGCCAAGAAAGCCTGCAAGTAGTCACAAGCCACCTCTCTTTTGGCTGCTCTTGGCAACTGGGGGCAACCATCAAAGCAAGACTCACATTGACACCCTGGCTTGGCAGCAATCCCCTTATGCTCCCCTTTCCTGTCCCCACCTAAGCAGGGATTTTCCCAGCATCAAGGCAGGGAAGAGACCAGAAGGTGAAGGGACTGCAGAAAGAGGAAGACCAATTCATCCCTTCTTCCTGATGGAAAGAGAAGGGCAGAACTGTTTTTCCTTCCTCACACACTGATCCTACTAGAAGGTATCATTTTTCCAGCCTGATTTTTTCCCCATATAAGTTTGGTCCTGTTTGTACGAGGAACCCAACAGATGCATGGGGGGCTGGCACAGCCAGAGGGCTGCAAGTACCCAGAGTGAACTTGAACAGCAGGAAGGGATATGACCACTCATTACACCAGGGCTAAATGAGTTGACCATGGATAGGCTGCCAATCAGTGGCAGAGCCAGGGCTACATTTTTGGTGAGTCCTGACGAATGTCCCTACAGGATTAAGTCACTCATAGCTGTTTGGGGCTGCTGCTAAACACTCAGCATGGCCACTGACACTTGCTCTAGGCATTGGCGTTCCCTAAATGCAGATCAGTTCAAATTCTCCCCAAAGGAAAAAAAAGAAACAACTTACAAAGCCAAAGCATCATCTTCAAAATACATCCCCATCGTTACATGGCCACTTAAGATGTTTCCTGCCTCTTCGAAAGCTTCCCTCGCTGTAAAAAAAGGCAGAGACACAAAAATAAACAACAGAAAGAGAAGTGTCAGCTTCCTCCTGGAAACCAAATCGCTGTCTGCATACACAACACCCTCCCACAGCAGCTGTCAGTTGGGAACGAAACCCCGATGAGAGGCTGATGAGAAATGGATGTGTCTCGTGGCCGCAGGCTATGGGAGGAGGAGCTGGCAGTGGCCGAAAGGATCAGAAGGAAAGTTCTTATTAAGAGAACAGTATTTGCTCTGTAGCTACCAGCACCGGGTTTCCAGGACCTGCACAACAGAGGCACTGCTGGAAAATGAAATGTCTTTAAGGATTTTGAAGTCCATGAGTGTTCTTTCAGTGAAAAAGGAGAGCGACTATAAGTCTAAATAGAAAATCTTACATATCCCAGTGATCTTTTGGAAATGACTGATGATGACTGAACTGGAGTAAGTGCTAAGTGCCCAGCAGACAAACCAACTTCTCCCAGAAGTGTCTTTTGGTTTTATCCAGTTCCTCACAGCAGGCAGGGTCTGTTACAGGCATCCAGCTAAGATAGGGAAGGTCAAAAAGCTCAACGCCTTGCTGACACAGCGTGCTCCACCTCTGCCCTCGCAGCTCAGCACAGACCCACGGCTGCTGGGCTTCATCACTCGCCTTTCCGAAATGGCAAGGTCGGGCAGAGGATGGAGAGGAGAGGATTGGGTTGGGGCTCTCTTGGTCCATCACAGTTTAATCTATCTGTGCTGAGAGACTGAGAGCAGAGCCCTGAAACAAAGCCGATCCCAGAGCTGGTTTACATCCCTTCTAAAACAGCATCATTTTTAGGCAGCCAGATCCATGGGAGAGGCGAGCTTTGCGAGAACATGCAAGCCATAGCGCGTGGGCTTGTAAAATACAGTTATAGATCAGAGATCAAACCCGCTGCTGCCAAAGGTAGGGTGAAAACAGGGCGGATTTCAACACCACCACCCTTCCCCCTTTGTATTGAGCAACTGAAAGCAACGAAAAAACCCAAAAGAGACTCTTCCGACTTCAGGAGAGTGAGAAATCACACTCTTTGGAGACAGCAGGTTTTCCCAAGAGTTAAGGTTACACCTCACATACAGCCCTGATGCATGCTGCTTTACAACTTAAATAAGATCTCATTCAGATACTATTTAGTGTTCCTCATAATGTTCACCACCATATCTCAACTGGCCAGCCCAAGCTCTTGGGACCAGTGACTCAGACCTCAACAGACCGAGGCTGGCTCACAACTGGTCACTTCTTGGTTCTTTGCCTTTCCAGCTACACTCCAAGTCGTATTTTCCATTTTGTTTCCCTGGGACCACATGGACCACAAACTTTCCTTTATACTATTTTCCATTCCAAGCGGAAGCTTAGATCCTTGAAGGAGTGGCTCACTGAGGGTTCAGACATTGTAGGAAACAATACACATACAACAAAGCTGGTGACACAGCTTGGCTGGTTCTTCATCGTGTGATACAGAGAAACCACCGTTGGATGGGTTTGACGTTGGTTTCCAGCTCTTTGGTCTTTGGTTACTTGATTTTATCAGTGTTGAAAGAAAAGCAACTCGCATGACCAGCTGGTAAGGATCACCGAGAACTTCACCAACAAACCCCTTGTGAAATTGTCTGTGTCCCTGGAGAAGAGGCCATGGGCAGACCACGAGCCCATCCTATGCTGTAAGGCACTGAAGGACACAGCCTGAGATGGAAAGAGCAGGCTCACATCCAAACTTCTTCAGGAGAGCACTTCTACAGGCGTTTAACTTTAAACTCTCACTTGAGCCATAAGCCCGTGCTGAAGTGCTGCCCTGCAGCGTGCCTGGATGCAGGAATTCTCTCCTAAATCATGACAGCCTTCAGCAGAGCCCAGGCTTACTCCTTTCACCGGGGTCATTCCTGATGAGACCTTCCCTCCCTATCACACCGCCAAAATTTTCCGTATTTTGGAGACTGTGCCAGCCCCAGAGCCACGCACCACCCTTCATTTCTCCACAGCTCACAGTGACAGTCTCTCAGCTCTGTGCAAGAAATCCCCAAATTTACATGGCTGTACTACAGACACGAAGCACTCCCAAAAAAACTGTTTAATTATTTCCTAGAAAATCAGTCCCCTCTGAGAACACAGTTTTAATTCCCTGCAGGGCTTGATCACGCGCTGCAGCACATGCCTCGAGCTGGAATTCCAGCTGCCTTCCACGACAGCTGCCATGAATTGCATAAGCCCAGCTTCGCTGCAGGATTTGGGAACAAGAAGGAATAAAACTGTCAGATGAGGAAGGGTCTACAGCCCCTGTGGAGTTTTCGGAGACAGGATCTGAGCACAACCCTTCATCTCTCTAGCAGAAGTCATCTCATGAAACCACGATCTCCAGCAGCACCTGGAGCATCTTTACATGCCACCATCCAGCCCAAGGTACCAGCCAGCCCCATGCACAGTGAAAACATCCAGCAGAAATCAGGAGCAGCCTTCCCATTCCCAAAGTGCTAAGGGACACACAGAAGACAACCAGCTCGTGTTTATGACTTGGTTTACACCGATGCTGGCAAGCCCTAGGATGTTACCGGAGCTTTGCTGAGCACAGGTGTATTTTTAAACAATTGTTTAGGACAGAGTCTTACTTCCAAATGGGCTTCCAGTTTGTGCACAGCAAATAAATTTCTCTCCTATCAGTCCTCCAAGTTTCCAGGAAAATGCTCGTTTGTTTCCCTAGTAATACCATTCACCTCTTTATAATAAGTTATGATTTTTCTGACAAGTCTCTTATAGCTCAGATCTACCAAAGGGCTTCTTCACACAGTTCCGACGCTAAGCACTGGCCAAAATCCAGGGCTTTATTTAACTGGGCATCTCGTAGCTCTGTTCCAGTTAACTAGAAACAGCAATGACACAGTGCGTCCCTGGATCAGGTTAGAGCAGGAATTCTTGCCGTGAGAAAATGACTGGAAATTCTGGATAAGTCTGCAGGCTGATAAGAGCAGCAATGAGGTTTCCCTGACTCCAGCCTGGGTTTGGTGCCAGAACAGCTGGCTCCAGTTTTCAGCTCCCTCGGGTTGTTCTGCAAGAGGCTCGAATGCCCCGTAGGTTACAGGCGGTGGAAGCACCACGTATTTCATCTCCCTGGGCATCTGCAGCTGAGATATCCCAGACTGTGGATGCCATTCCACATTGCAGACTGAGCGTGTGCCCCGAGGGAAGAGAAAATCTTGCAGGCTCCACGCAGAGCCGTCTGGAAACCTCCAAGACTCTGGTTTGCACGGAAGGAAATGAACAACTTCTATATAGGAAAGAGCCTGAGCTCACGCGTCCAGCCGGACGCAGGCAGGTTCCTTCCATGAACCCCTCTCACCATCCCCATGTCATCCAAGGTCCTACTGGGGGGCTAATCCAGGCTCTGCTACCACAGGGAGTGGAATATGTGGAACAGAGGGGACAACTTGGAGCTCGGCTGATGAAAACCAGGCAGAAATGGGCTCAAGGTTTTTTGAGATCAATTTGATTTTCTGCTGTATTTAACAGACTTAGACCCTCCAGAAGGCAGCAGGTGCATGAGCTGTCAGCTGGCTCGGTGAACACAGCCGAAGTGTTTTATGGCTAGTTCCAGACATTGGATTTTGTTCTTACCTCCGAGCACAGCGGATTCCCTCTGGAGCTCCTCATGTGAGAAAGTAGCTCGGTTTGCATTCAACCAAAGTTCAGAGGCACAACGGAGCTTCAAAACGAAAAATAGTCTGAAATTTTGATCTTAAGAAGGATCAGAGAATTCTCCTTTTTTTAACGCAGTGATTCCCAGGGGTAGCTGGTAACTGAGACCGCGGGGTTGGAAGCTCTCCACAGTGGATTTGACTAAGCGTGACATGATGTTCCCTTTCCAGACTGACTTTTTTCCCTCTCCCTTGTTGACATATATGTTTGTCACATGAAAAAAACACTGTAGCTGTCACGTCCGTTTTCCTGTCATTCAGGAAGGCTGTGAAAAGCCAGTGGATCCTGGATCACAGTTATGGCATGGAACGAACGATACTGGAGCAGCACCTGAGTGACTAACATCACCCTATCCAGGAGGCAGGGGAGGGAGGGAGGGAGAGACTGCTCCAAATTTCAGCCACTGGCCAGGACTATACCGACCAAGACTACAAAGTGAGACAATTTCATATAAGTTCAGCACACTCCCCCCCCAGCAACTTTCCTTGGCCTTTCTAGCTGATGTCCACCACTCTGGAGGCTGTGTCCACCTATTTCAATGTCCACGAGTGGATTTCGGTGAGTTATTCAAGTTTCATTCCTTTTGATGAAAGAAATTTGTGTTTTACTGCTTTGGATTTTTTTTTGAAAAAGAAACGTTTTGGATTGTGTGTTGGTTGCAAGGACTGGGAATACCACATTTGCAGAAGAAGGAGTCAGCAAGATAACTATCAATCCAATAGTGGAACAGGCTTTCTATAAGAAAGAATATGTTGTGACATGTTGGACACAGACTGCAAGGAGAGGCTGATGGATGTGGGCTTGTTCAGTCAGAGACTAAGAGGGGATTTAACAGCAGCCTACAACTACTTTGAAACAGGCTTATGAAGGCAAAGAGCCAAAGTCTTCCTGGTATGAAGCAAGAGATACAATAGGGACAAAAGGCACAAATTGTGGCTTGGTAAGTTCAGATTGGACTTCTGAATGTGCGCTGGCAGCCCAGAAAGCCAACCGTGTCCTGGGCTGCATCCAAAGCAGCGTGGGCAGCAGGTCAAGGGAGGGGATTCTGCCCCTCTGCTCTGCTCTCATGAGAACCCCTGCAGTGCTGCCTTCACCTCTGGGGTCCTCAACACAAGAAGTGCATGGAGCTGTTGGAGCGGGTCCAGAGGAGGCCACGAAGATGATCCGAGGGCTGGAGCACCTCTGCTAAGGAGACAGGCTGAGAGAGTTGGGGCTGTTCAGCCTGCAGAAGAGAAGGCTCCAGGACAACCTTCCAGCAGCCTTCCAGTACTTAAAGGGGCTACAAGAAAGCTGCAGAGGGACTTTTTACAAGGGTGTGTAGTGATAGGACAAGCATCAGCCCCACAAAGGGTGGATTTAAACTGAAAGAGGGGAGATTTCCATTAGATCTAAGGAAGAATGTCTTCACTCAGAGGATGGTGAGGCACTGGAACAGGTTGCCCAGAGAAGTTGTGGCTGCCCCATCCCTGGAAGTGTTCAAGGCCAGGTTGGATGAGGCTTTGAGCAACTTGATGTAGTGGAAGGTGTCCCCGCCCAGGACAGGGGGGTTGGAACTAGATGACCTTGAAGGTCTCTTCCAACTCAAACCATTCTATGACTCTGATCTGCAAAAATTTCTTTGCGGAGACAGGTCACCCAGGGCACTGTTGTTTTGTACTGTACTGAGCACAATGTCTCAGCCTCTGTCAAGGTTGTCAGATGCTGCCACCCTGGGTGTAGTAAACATGCCTGGCAGCTGAACATGCTCTGAGCCAGGATATGGACCTTAGATGCCACATCTGGAATCACCTACTATCTGCTTTTTGTGAAAACAAGAAGGGTGGTGCCAGGCAGGCTGTGATGTGAGCAAACATGCTTGGAGAAAACAAAACACAGAGGAACTTCCAAGCACCTGGAATCACCCCTCTCCCATCAGGAATGAAATTGAATGTTTAATCTACGAATACCACACTAACCTTCACTCGTGCCTGTGCTAAATACTCCTAGAACCGAAGTATGGTGATAGGATGACAGCTCAGATGGAAACTCTCCTCTTAAATATCCTTCTGCTTCATCAATCGTGGCCAGCTTCAGAGGGCAGGGAACTCGGCTCCTACAAAAAGGCAGAGAAACAACATGGGCGCCGCCTTCTCCATTTTTGGGATGAAGAGTCAAAAGGGCAACCTCAATCCAACAATGCCCCAACCCACTATGACAACAGTTATGCCTCATTAGAGACAAAAATCAGTCACCTGAGAAGGAAGGACAACATCTTCCAGTACTTAAAGGGGGCCTACAGGAAAGCTGGAGAGGGACTTTTTACAAGGGCATGTAGTGATAGGACAAGGGGCAATGGCTTTAAACTGAAAGAGGGGAGATTTAGATTGGATCTAAGGAAGAAATTTTTCACTCAGAGGGTGGTGAGGCACTGGCACAGGTTTCACAGAGAAGCTATGGCTGCCCCATCCCTGGCAGTGTTCAAGGCCAGGCTGGATGAGGCTTTGAGCAACCTGGTGTAGTGGAGGGTGTCCCTGCCCATGGCAGGGGGGTTGGAACTAGATGATCTTTGAGGTCCCTTCCAACCCTAAACATCCTATGATTCTATGATTGTATGATTTTATGATCTAGTCACAGAAGGGCACTGGAGCTAATTATGGGGAAGAGAGAACAGCCCTGAGCCAAGCTGGTTGCTCTGAGATCCTTGGGATCCCCATTAAAAATAACAGAGAAGGAATTCCAGCAGAGAGGGACAGTGACGAGAGAAGGATGCACTGCCCAAGAGCAGATGTTCTCTGACATTGAAAAGCACAAGAAGTTATTAAGCTAATTTCCAAACCAGGTCTACCATCAGCTCTGCCATTATTTTTCCAAAAAGGATTTCCATTACACAGGCCATGAAGTGTCCAGGCCATCGTCTAGCAGATGTGCCAGTCTGACTGTGTGGGGGCTCATTAGCAGACACTTACAGCATGATGAAGCTGGTCAGTTCTTCGGTTCCCCACATGCCATCGTACATCACGGATCGCTCTCCCTTCTCGTAAATCTTGATGGTAGGAAACTGAGTGACGTTCTCCTTTGTGCAAACACCCGGCCAGTCCCAGCAGTTTACCCGGGAGAGCAAAACTCCCCGAGTTCCTAGAGTGGAAAGCAAATATATATAAATAATATGGAAAGAAAAAAAAAAAAAGGATTGAAAAAGAGAGCTTTATGTGAGCTTCTTTGGATATTATAATATATTTTTGTATTAATGCTGCCAGAACTCCCGTTTGCTTTGGCGTGCATCCTATGGGGCTGGATCCTAACACACGGCATGCACACGGAGCGAGCCCAGGTGGGCTATCGCTGAGAACCTGCTGGACCATTCCTGGAGTCAAACGCTGCTTTGTGTGCGCAGGATGTCAAAATCCAGCCCCGAACACACAATCCCTTTGACTACAGGCTATCTCCCTCTTGAAATCATTCATGGATATGCCTTACACTTTTTGAGCATAATAGTAACTATTTCCAGCCTGCGAATGTATTAAATGCCCCAGCAGGTATGGATTGATCCAAACAATGGAGAGAATAAACTCAGGGAAGTGGCAAGTTGCACTTTTCACACGAAAATTCCCAGAGATGTCCATATCTGGCTGGTTACTCAAAGGAACACCACGAAACCCTGAGGCAACTGTCCAGGAGCATAAGGTTGGATGAGGCCAGGTTTCAAGGCCAGGTTGGATGAGGCTTTGGGCAACCTGGTGTAGTGGAGGGTTTCCCTGCCCATGGCAGGGGGGTTGGAACTGGATGACCTTTAAGGTCCCTTCCAACCCTAACGATTCTATGATTCCATAAAAAGCAGCAAGGAAAGGTACTGGAAATACCTTAGGAAGAAGGCCAAGACAAAGAACCAATACAGGCGCTCACTTACAGGAAAGAAGGAAGATACATCTTGGCATGGAGGAGGCCAATGCATTCATTTATTAAGGTGCTCAGTATTGAAAAGTGTCTATTCTACTTAAAGCATGGAGCTCAATACACCAGGAGCAGTTAAAGGTCCTGTAAACATGACAGATGTAATAGAGACTGATGGCATTCACCCTATCCTACCTCTGCAAGCTGCTCATCTCCAAGCCACTAGCAGGTACCTGTAGGACCTTAGGAAAGAGCCTGGGGTCTCACAGGTAAGGGATGGGGAAAGGGAAAGCACTTGGGAATTACAGCCAGTCCAACTTCGGTTGGATTACAGTCAGTCCAACTTTGGTTCCTGGTACTAAAAGAGCTTTTTATGAGTCTCACCAAAGCCATGAACTCAAGGGATTCATAAGCAGTGGAACAAATGAAGTTCGATTCTCTGGATGCTCTCCATGAGCCCAAGACACAATGCCTGCAGCTCCAGCACGTCCTCATCAGCTTTTGCTGCTGCTGGTCCAAGGCCAAGCCTGTGCTAACCAGCTGGCAGGTGAACCATCACCAGCTTCACTAGCCACCACTCCTTGGTTGCCAGCCTCACCTGACCTGCCTCCTACCTACTTGGAGACTTGACCAAGGACAGTAGGGCTGTGTACAGTCCTCAGGCCACACGTCGTCCATG